TTTTACTGAAAAAATGTTTAAAATTAAGTTTGGATTTAGTACTGCTATCTAAAAAGGTTCCCTTTCCATATTTTTAAATGGAAAATTAAAAAAGCTGTGACTTCCTTGATGCATATTGGTCTACTTACAAGTTTGAGAATTCAGCAGCCTTCTAAGCTGTACAAGATGCACAAAGAACCAGCAAGACAATCTTGTCAAGAGAGTGACATCCTTTTAATAGAAACAGGAGGTGATGCATCTTTAGTAGTGTAACAAATGTAAGATGATAGAACTGTTGATTAGTTTCTGTCGAGGTGATTCTCTTTGAATTAAACTTAACAATGAACAAGATTTCATGTTGCTTTTAAACAATTGGGGAGCTGCAAAAGGCGTGCCTGGAACAAGGAAAAGCATCTTTCAGTTAGCGGCACTGTGCCCGTACGACTTATTTTGTTGAGGAATTTTATTGCAAGAAATGTGTGTTCTTGGACTTGTCTTTGAACAGAACTGTCAAACTTTATGTAGTGAAGACCTACCACTGCACATTTGACCATTGTGTTGTACTAGCTTTGTAATATCACCTCCAGTAGTGTATGGATTATTTCTGCTATTTACTTATTCCAGCAATAGCATTAATCATATTTTTTCACGTTCCAAAGACCTTTGTTGACATTTCATGCTGTGCGTAATGATGCATAGTTAAACCCTCATGTCTTTACATCCATAATCAGGTTTCCATAAGATGCAAATAATTCAACAGGTTATTGCAAGCAGCATAATTATCTTAAAAATACAAATCGTGGCTTTATGAAAACACTAGACACTTGATTTTGCCGTTTTATGACTGCTGATTTGTTATACGGACACTAAAGCCCTGATACTCTTTAGAGTGTATAAATGATAATGGTGAAAATTAAATTTGATTTTCATTTACTTTGCCAAACTTGATGACCGCTTGTTACATTGAATCTTTTCAAGAATACTCTGGAGCAAGGTTGCCCATCTTTTTTTTTAAATCCTTACTTGGCAGCTTTTATTCACATTCTGGCTCAACATTCAGTAGAGAGTGTTATTTTTCTTTACTCGGAACTCTGTCTGCTATTGAGGTTTTGCACATTTATTTTACTGGGAAAATGTCATAAAAATAGTCTTTAAATCTTTAAGACTCATTGAAGCGATTCTAGCCCATGTTATTATAGAAGGACGGCATTCAGCACAAGATTTTGGCCTGCTACTATAAACTATTAAACACCACTAGTGTTACACTACTTTCTAATAATAGAATCTTGGACATCATGAGGAGGCTGAATATAATATCTTCTGTAACCCTATTAATAAAGGGATGATGCTACATCTGGCTTTCAAATTGTTGTTTAAATTGTTGAAAATTAGTTTGAGATGTTCAAGGTTGTGTGAAATTTTCTGTCTGAACATTCAGCAGAAGTTGCTTTGTATGGTTCAGCAAATTGTGGTCTGTTTAATGCATGTCTGTGATGTACTACTGTATGTCTCATATTGGGAGCAGAAACCTTGCTGTTTGTTTTCTCATCTTGGGACAGATTCCCCAATGTTTGTATTTATAATGTAACTGAGGCGTTTTTTCGATGAAAGGAATCACTCTTTTCCAATTTTAACAACCATTTTTCAGTAATGTGTGATCTTAAAGTGAAAATGTGGCAAGATGAGAGAAGACGTAGTGGGTAGTTGTTTCTGTACATCTTTACATTTTCACAGCCCATCAAGAAAAAATTCAAACATCAGTTTTTTTTCCAATTCCTGAGCTTTAAGAGTATCGGAAGCAGTGCATTGTGAGAAAATAAATTTATTTGACTTGCATCAAAAAAATGAATATCCTTTATCTCCCACCTGGCAAGGCTAAAACTCTGACTAGACCTCTGGACTGGATGAACCCCTCGTCTCTGTGATCTTTAAAAGAAGGCACCAGAGTAATGTTCCACCTGTCCCCTGGTGGTCTGGGAGAAAAGAACCAGAACGTTGCTGGATAAAGGTGTTCTTATCTTCACTGCTTGTTGGCTGTCTGTGAGCGGAGCATTTTCAGAGTGACATAGTACTTTCTTTTCTGATTGCAAGTGGCTTTAATTCGCTGGACAGCTAAAGAAGGGCACAGATAATTAGAAGTGTCTCTGCTAGCTGAAAAAAATAAATCGGAAAGTGGTTTATAACCATAAATATAAAAGGTTGCTTGTATAGATGTGTAGGTATAGCTAACAGCTTCTACTGTATACTGTAAGCTTACATGCCCAGTGAAAAGTCTAATTTTAGAAGTGGCTTTTTGCAGTGAACATCAGTAATAACTTCTAGCTTTTACTACAGTCTTTTAAAATGTGTCATGAGTTTTGACATTAAAAATGCAGGAGCTAAAATTGTTTGAACCATTTTCAACTTAGTCCAGAATTCCTTATGTAAATTAAATTTAAATAATTTAGAGGTGTTGAAAACTGTTGTATTTTAAACTTTTTACTTAACATTAGGCATAGCAAGAATGTTGTGCCAATTACCATTAACTAGACTTACTTCTTTAACTTCACAATTAGTAGTATTTGCGTATAATACTCAGTTATTAATTGCACTTTAGTATTATTGTTAGTGATAAACGTTCTCATACTAAAAAATGCCCAAATCTGAATCCTCTTTATTCATCAAGTACATTTAATGTATAAGGAATTTACTCCAGTGTACTTGGTTCTGCAAAAACATTCTACATATACCATAACACAAACAAGATTAATAGACATCATTAAGACAGTGCAAGACATATTACTAGGAATACTGGTTAAGCAAAAACGACAGCTCTAGGAAAGAAGCTGTTCAAGTCCAGGGTGGTTCTGCTTTTAACAGACCAGTAGGAATGTTCGGAAACAGGTGGTTACCTGGGTGGCAGAGTGATAAACACACTGCAGTTTGCCTTTGGAGTGGGCTGACGCATTGCCCAGCCAAAGACTCAGTTTGACAGAGCCATCACTGAGAGCAATCTGACTGCTGTCAAAACTGGTTGAGAGATGCCAAAGCTTTTCGGTTAATGCAAAAAGTGCATGCTTTGCGTGATCATTATTTCCCATTTGAGGGTATAAGACATCATAACTCCCAAAAACTTCAAGGGCTCCACTGCACTCAAAGCCACATCAGTGATTACCGGGGGGAGAGGTAACGAAAAAGTATTTTAAGAGTGTTAGACCTCCATGGTTAGCACACCATGATACCTCTCTCATGTACAGGGTCAAGTATCATTATGGATGAGACCTACAAGGGTAATGTCCGTCAGACTAATTGAGTCTGCGGATGACGAGTTGCCGGAGGTGCAGTTGCTGCTGTACGAGAAACACAGTAATGGGGAAAGCACACACCCCCGAGGTACATATATAATATAACATCACTTTATTAACCCTTTACAATTTCTTGCATTAGGAATTATCTTTTCGCATACCCCAGCTTGCTCTCCATGAGACACACAGACGGGGAGAGAGCCTGGGGTCAGAGCGCAGGGTCTGCCATTGTACAGCGCCCCTGGAGCAGTTGGGGTTAAGGGCCTTGCTCAGGAGCCCAACGGAGTAGGATTCCTCTGCCGGCTGAGGGATTTGAACCGGCAACCTTCCAGCCACAGATCCTTAGCCACAGAGCCACCGCTCCGCGCACATCAGGATTCACAAAGCGTCTGACAAATAAGGGCCCAGCCACAGCTGCTTTCTGTCTGTGAGAAATGTGCAAATCCACTGGCCGAGGGAAAGTCGAACATTCACCTGTGACCAGGCTAAACACCGGGCTAAAATCTACAAAGCAAATTCTTGCCTATGTGCCTGAGGATTCTAGATGTTGCAAAATGTAGCGGCTGTCTTGTTCACACCATCCAGTGACCTTTTGGCCCAAGATGCAAACTGTAGAGGATGAAGATGTCAATACATTCAAAAATATTCATCATGACGAACTGACTAATGCTAAACAACTGGGATCATTTTCATGATTCATGTACGTGTACCACATTTTCGTTGTCAAAACGTAAGTTAAAATAAAATCACAACAGCATTTCATTCATTTTTAAAAGTTCATAAGTGTTAGACTGTTGTGCTGCCTTATTAAATCCAAATATCCTGAAGATGAAGATGCAATAAGTGGTTTATCTAGTTATCCGTACCCTGTGGAGTAGCTTGGAAATAGTTTTTCAGAATTGACTAATGATCATTTAGTGTAGCTAAATTTATTCCACTGTGTAGGAGTACTAACGTTAAATTTCATCATGAATATTTCAGCTACTGTTACATTTCTAAAATAGTTCACACTTGTATTTGAGCTCAGTTCAGGATCAGTAATGGCTTTTTTTATTTTGTATTTTTATCAGAAGTTTCCACCATTCATTGAATTAACAAATTTTAAAATGGTTACCACCAATGTACTGCCATTAGTACTTTCACTTGCTCTCTTTTCACATACTGTATACTGTGCACCTCAGAGACACTCACTCTGGCAGCCTACAGTAACTAAAGTGACATTGATGCTGACCAAGACTCGTGCGTTGCTGATAGAAATATGGAACAGCCTGCTTCTATACCGAAAATTGCCGTTATTGGCTAAATGGAAGATGTGTGTATTTAAATATAGCATTTTAACACAATCATAAGTATATCCATAAATGTGGGAGGAGATGGTTGCTCCGCTGCGACTGCAAAAATCCCTCTAGTAGCTACCTTTGAGATCTCAGATTCCCTCATCTATGAATTTGATTATGCTATAATGTGGATGGTTCATTATCCTGATTCATCTGTGTTTTAGTTTTTAGAACATCCTCTTGCATTATGCGCTGGTATCTGATTAAAAGTGATATTTCTAACTACTGTAGTTTTTGCTTAATATGAAAATGGGTCCAGTAATTTTCCTCTGGAAAATTAAGTAAATAAGTAATACTTGAGGAATATATTTCAGAAGCTCTTTACAAAGTTGTATCTTCTGCTGCCTTGCTCTTAGCATGTACAACAGCGTAATGAGAAATTTTAATTTTATCTCCACAGCCTTCATCCAGTCGGACACAATTTTAGAGGTACTACGCTTTGGTGAAGGAGGCCTCTTACAGGTACATTTTATGCTTTTAGCCTCAGCATATGGGTTAAAATGAGGGATTATAAAATGTTTGCTGCTTTTGCATGATGAAAGCATAAATCCTAAGAAGATTAAAACAAATTCTTGGTTATGTAGCAAGTACTTATATGTTTTTTTTAACCAAAATCAAATAATGCTTTATTTGTTTCTTGCTTGGAGCTTCTTATGTTGCTGTAGAACTTTTATTGACAGCGACAGTGCACAGAAAGTGTATTGACAATTGCACTGCAGATGTCCTCAGTTCTCACACACGAGAACGGCAATTGTAGCTTTCTGAAAGGCTGCTCGTACTAGAAAAGAGATCCCTTTGTGAGTGCTTTAGTGCCGTTATGTGCTATTTTACATAGAATAGTGACAGTACAGCTTCGTAAAAGGTGATCCAGCAGGAGAAAAGACTGGGTATGCTAGCATCTGAATGTTCCCCCATTTTGATTATGAATATAACCAGGATTGGCAGGAGAAAGTCTTGCAGTTTTTTTTAATCAACAGCTTTTAAATTTCCACTTCTGCATGTGACGCTGCAGAAGAGGGCCTCTATAAATTTGATATGTCCCTGGAGAGTCGTCTGCATTTGGCACCAGATGCACAGCTCACAGTGCGATACACATCATGCACAGGGCTGAAATTGAACTCCTTTCTTGATTGCTAGTATATTTTTGGTACTAAATATTCCTGCTTTGTTTGGGACTGTTGAGAACTGTACATACTGAGTGTTTTTAAGTTGTCACTATGTAACACACTAAAGCAGAGTAGAGATTGAGTTTAATTTTTTTTTATCACTGATGACCTCAGTACTCCTCTTAATATGTTGAGATAAATAAGAAAGCTTATTTTATTGGATACAGCCAGCATACATTAAAATTTAAAAGCATTTTTTACAATGTTTAGCTAATTTAATTGTTTTCTAATAATTCAGAACCCCTTTATCATAGTCTAAAGCCTTAATATTTAAACCTTAAGATTAAAAAAGTATTTTTAATCCTTGTTTCTGGATACCATAGAGAGTCACCACAGCAGGATGAAAGAAGATGTTACTTGTGAATACAATTGTTTCATGCTGTATGCACATATAGAAACCTACACTTCTAGAACTACAGGTTCTAGAACACTTTCAAACATGTGTATGAATTGTCAAAAGGTATATAAACGATTTCCCCAAGATTCAAACACTCTTATTATATGCGGGTAGTTTTGTGGGACATAAAAGTTAAAAATGGGGAACACTATTTACCGCAGTCTTTTAAAAGAAAAGATCACATTGAATGTAATCTAGGGATGGGAGTTCCAGGAATGCAAGTGAACTGAACATTGTCGGATTTTCCAGTATATATGCTAATGAAAGTGAAAAGAACGCATTTTGTCTAATATCCCATGTTTCAGTGCTAAGGCCATGTATGCATCATGTCCTCATGACAGCAGCTAGTATGTACTTAGTTTGGCTGTATACAGGAGTTGTCCATCGTTCTAGGGCTAGTATTGTATGTCACTCTTGAAGAACTAATGCATAGCTTATAAATTACACCTAAAACAATTGCACAGTTAATCTTTGCATAAATTATTGATCCATCTGTCTTAAAATCCCCCCATGTCTAAAGTCTCATATTACAGCTTTGCATTAAAACTTTAGTAGTCAGCATGAGAATGGAATCGTTCAGTGGTAGTGTGGTAGATCAAGCAAGCATGTTGCTAGCAAACAGTGCCAGTCAAAAGTATTGAGAACACCTGCTTGAAACCAGGTTTTTCATGATTATTTGTGCCTTAAACAGTATAACCTTGTCTATGAACACTTGATATTTAATGACATGATATGTGTCCGTAAAATCTGAAGTGAACTGCATTGAAAATGTTAATTTTTCTTTTTCAATACAATGAACCCCTAAAGCAAGCCGATTTCAGTCTGAAGCCCAGGTTAGTTACAAGTCAGAAATGTGTATAACAAGGTGTTGGAACACAAAAAGAAGTTTAAATTGTCTTTGTTAGATGTTCTCACCGTTAACTAGCATGTTACCTCATTTACCTTGTCACCATTGTCATAAATTGTCACCAATTATTTACAAGTTTATACAGTTTGAAGCACAGATAATCATGAAAAACCTGGTTTCGAGGTGGTGTACTCAATCTTTTGACTGGTACTGTTCTTCTCTTTTATCTTTGTTCACACAATTGCACAAACTGCATTAGAAGGCTGCCTATTACACTGGCATTTTCTGGATTTAAATGGTTTTTCCGGGGGCAGGACTGAGATTCAGGTTAAGAAGAAACTGTCTGAATCTGAAGTAACAGACTGATCCCATATGCTGCTTCCATACAGTTGCTAATCATTATGTAAATGTCCCAGCAGCATGTGTGAGAATTTTCTTTTTTCTGCTGCTGGCTACATCCTTCAGTTTTCGGTCCACTTATCCAGGTAGACGTTGCAGCAGCTGGTAATATCTAAGCAGCGTTATGGTCTATATTTAACCTAGGAAATGCTGAGGTGTTGGGATATGTGATCCAGAACATGTAATATTAAAATTGATATGCGTTGGCTTGAATTAATTGTCCTTGTGGTAAATGTATACCCTGTCTAATGTAAATCCCCCTCTCCTCCCCCTGCTGAAAAATGAAATGAATAAGGAATGTTCATGTTGTGTGTGTGTGTGTGTGATGCATTTAAAGTAATTCCAATACTAAAAATGTAAAAAATCCCAAACTCATTAGAATTATGTGGCATAATAGCTGAATATAGCAACAACCAGAGTTCAGGTCAAAATAATTTCTGGATTATATAATTACAAAAGAAGGTTACATTACATGCAGGTTCACGTACATTTTAAGCTAATAACTCTTTATAACGGGGAATGCCATCATTCGTAAAATATTTAGATGATGCCTTTAACCAAAGTAACTTTTGTTTTGCCTGTTTTGTTCGGCACCAACAGAGGTTTTAGTTACATGATTGCTGGTTGCTGCGATATAGGTAAAGTTCATGTTCCACAAAAAATGTCTGTGCATTGATAGTTGTTGATGCATGTCTTATTGAATATTAAATACGAAAGAAGGTTATGATTTTGGCTTTTTCCTTTACAGTGGTGTTCTGGGGTGGCACACTGGACAGCACTATGCTCTTGTCCCGCTTAGCTTCTGGGTTGGTGCCCTCACTGGGACAAATGGCTTTCTGATGATCCTGCTGTGCTAGTAACTCCAGGAAATCACTTGGAATATTTATAGTACAGGTGATGAAATATAAAAGAAAATTAATAAGCATGAGAAGGCTGTCAGGTTCTGCCAAACAAAAAAAGAAATCTCAGGAGCCACAACAGTATACTGTATAATTTTGATTAATGAAAACCTTTTGGGAATACTGGTGTTAACAGATTTGGTAAGACTAATAATTTGATTTTTTGTGTCTTTACAGACAGAGTCTGACATTGATCTCAGTTCATATCATCAAAAAAGGTAAGTTTAGTCTCCTTTAATTGCTTTGATTGCCCTCTATACTGAAATTCATTTGCTTGAATTTAAGTGAAATTAGGACATGTAAATGGGTTTGGTTTGCTCCTCAAACTAATGTGTAGTAAAGAAGTTGGTAATATATGTAATATGTCACTACAAGTTGATGGGGAGCATCTATAAAATTAAATGAGTAAAGTGCAGATAAATGAGTTTATTTCCAAGGTTCTGGCACGTTCCTCACAGAAGAACATTTTCCCTACCAGTGATGTTTGTCTTGATTTAGGTGATGCAGTGTTACTGCAGCAATGAAGATTTTATAGTCTGGGGCTGTTTGTGTGTACGAGCTGGGAAGGAATTCCTGCTGTGTGTCTGCTGATTTGTTTGCTTCATTCTCTGGAATGCTGGGATGCCCAGAGCTGTTGAGAAACAGACATTGCTATGCTATTTCTTTTCAGTACCAGGAAGAGGGGTACTGTGAAAGGCTTTGGGTGCAGAGATTAAGGTGAAACTGTAGGAACATTAATAATAAAAGTGTATTTATAAAGCACACTCCTTGGGGGGCACAGTGGCTCTGTGGCTAAGGATCTGCGCCTGTGGCTGGAAGGTTGCCAGTTCGTATCCCGCGGCCGGCAGAGGAATCCTACTCCTTTGGGCCCCTGAGCAAGGCCCTTAACCCCAACTGCTCCAGGGGAGCCGTATAAATGGCTGACCCTGCACTCTGACCCCAAGCTTCTCTCCCTGTCTGTGTGTCTCATGGAGAGCAAGTTGGGGTATGCAAAAACACCAATTCCTAATACAAGAAATTGTATATGGCCAAAAAAAAGATCTCTTATCTCTCTTAGCTTTCCCAACTCAACCCAAGGATGCTGTACATGGTGATAATGTGAAGTTAAAAGAAAAGTAAAAGAATAAGAGCGTACAGGTTTATACAAATAAAATGTAGAGCCAGTCTGTCATAGGTTTAGTTACTACTGGAAAAACATTACTGCTTGCTTCCATAGATGAACTAAGCACTTGGTCAGAAAGCACGAGCAGACACTGCATAAAGGACTGTATTCTGTTCAGTTTTTGTCTCTTAAAAGAACTAAATATCCATCTATCTTTTTTCTAACTGTTTTATCTAGCACAGGGGGGAGCTGGATCTTTTCCCAGTAAGCAATGGGCAAAGGCAGGATACACCCTGGGAGGGATGCCAGTCCATCACAGGGCACACGCAGACACAAATGCACAAACGCACGCAGGACCAGTTTTCTCCAAATCCAATTGACCTACTGGCATGTTTTTTGGGAGGAAACCAGGGCACCCGAAGGAAACCGTACAAACTTAAAATAAACGAACTCCACGTAGATGGAACTTCAGAAAACACCCCAGCTTGTGCTGTTTCATGTATTCTCTGCCTTGCCCAGTACCCTTTGTGCATCGAGTCTTTAATGTCGATACCACTTTGACTCGATACCACTTCGAGGTTAATTTTCTCCACTTTGTGGCTTGGGCTGTGTGGGGGTGTTCAAGCTGTATTTCTCTTAAAATCTGCTTGCAGGATTGTGTGTTTGCTTTCAGAATTGTAGTGGCTAGTACAGCAGCCTTGCCAATGTGATTTCCAGGAATGTTTACCACTTGGAGAACATGCTTATATACCCTTGCCAACTTTTAATGGAGCCTAAATGAAATCACAAATTGCACATGACTGGACTTTGTTTTTTTCAATAAAACTGCTCGTTCTCCTGTATAGGGACTTTTTAATCAGCTCTGTAGTTCATATAAACAAAAATTCTCAAACTGCAGTCTTCCTATTTGAATTTGTTCTCAGTACCTTATAGTAACTCTTCTTAAAAACTACATTACTACATAGAGGAAATTTAGTTTTAAAATTCATGTATTGTGTGCCAGGGCCATAAAAACTGCTAAAGCATAGCAGATAAGAATTACTACCTAGTGTGATGAATTAGTTACATGTTTTGTGAGTGCAGCCACCGTTCGAATAGAAGCACTATAAGATATAATTTTGCTTAAAAGTAAGAAACAGTCCTATTACAGGAAAGTAGTGCCTGTATAAAATGGATCTACCTGCCAAACGCAGATGGTTCCACTGATATCCAACAGTTCTCTTTATATTAAAATCTTGATATGATATTGAAAGTGGCCAAGGGTAAAGTATGCTTGTTTGAAGAAGTAATGAGAGAAGAATGTATCTCCTAACCTGCTTTAAATTCCAGGGACAAGTTTAACAGCTTGGAGCTGCGCCTCTCATTCATTTCCTCAACCAATAGTGTTTCTCCGAGTTCCTAGCCAGGGAGTTATTTGGGTAAACGCTTGCGAAGTGTCTTCTTGGGATTGGTCAGTCAGGGTAGGGTGTTTAGCAGTTTCATCATCTGCCTTGTCACGCCTTGTGATTGAGGTTCCAAAATCATGAGACAGTACTAGAATTTTGTTTTTGATTATCAAAAAAAAAAAGAATATGCTTTTAGATTTTTCAATGTGCTTTGCCAATGTTTTGAATTGATGTAGTGTTTTCTGGCTTTTAAATCAATTAAAATACAAAGGTCAACAAGTATAATAGAGTATAACAGAGTGTCTAAAGTTCAGTACATTGTTAGGCTACTTATCTGCTAAACTATGTTATGTAGTGTATTTCTTTCCTGTATTGATTTCCGTGTTATAAAGGTGTGGTATATTTGGCTTCTCGTTATTTTTATATTATAAAATTCTCCCTCAAGTTTTTTGTGGGTGGGTAACTTGAAACTGCTTACTAGACAGTGTTGTTGCTTACTGCATAGAAACCTATTGCTGTTTAAATATGCCACACCAACATGCAGGTCAGTCACACAGTCTCATTCTGCTCTGAATAGGTCAGAAGCTTATGTAATGGCATCCTGCAAATACCTGAGCGAAATCTTTTAGAATAGCGTTATGTACGTATTGAAAAGTGGAAGTTAAAGAGCAAAATGCAAATCATATTACTTCCCTAACTTTCATCTGCACGCCGTTTTCGGCTTTAACTGAAGTGGAACTCTGAAGGGGGGAAAATTAATTAAACCGTGAGAGGTTGGTTTCAACAGAATTGTGCTTAATTTAAATCTCTTACAGGATGTTAAAACATTTTTTTAATTTCTCACCTTTATATTTAAATCACTAAAATAGTTTTTTTTTAATTATCGAAAGGAAAAGGTCCAGCTTTCTAATCATAATCGTCTAGGTTTTAAGGTTTTTCCGAAAGACCGCCTACTTAACTAATGTCTTTGCTGTTTGAACGTCTATGTCAATGACCCTGGTGTGCTAGTGCTAGTGCATCATAGAAGTGATGTCTTTATAGAGCAATTTGTGACAGTGGCTCTGAGTCATTGTTTTGTTAATCCCACTGTAAAGAAACCAGCACATGAAAACATTGAATGAATAAGCAAATGACATTGTGTTTACTGTCATTGTAATCGGAAGCATTCTTTTAGTAGAATCAGTTATGAAGTTCAGTTGAAACCACAAGATTAAAGAGGCCTTTTTATGCATACCTGTGAATTTTAAGAGCGTTAATAAGTAAATGATAAATTTGACACTTCTTCTTTCATTTGATGTAGGGATCACAGTGAAATGTACATGGCAAGGGTCAAAGAATGAAGCAGCAAGATTTGTATTGTGTGCATTATGCAGCACAGCACAAAGGTTGCTTGGTTGCACATTCTCATTTGTCACCGAGACCTTAAGTCACCATCTTGTGACTCTGTGGTTACCAATTTTTTTTAAGAAGTTGCACTGTTGTCAGAAGCTTAACTGATACATCATGTTAAAACCTCCGTCTGCCCCCATTTATTTAATTTCCTTAGTGCCCTTACTGAAGTACCTTATATACAGTAGGTTAAAAGAGAAAGAATATTAACTTTAAATGAACTTTAAAAACTGCACCCAACACTTTCTAGTCAAAAATACCATTGATCTGTCTAGTCTCTCACTTGGGGTTTAAAAAGCACTTTCATTCTGATTATATATTTATTTTTAAATACTTCACTTAGTTTACTGCAGGTGCAGTGTTTAGTTGACATCCTGAAGCAGGCTGACAGTTTCTGGATCTTTTATTACCTTATTCTTCGTGAGCTGAATCACGCGAAAGTGACACGGATTGTAATGATGAAGTTAGTGTTCAGATTCCATTGCTTTTGTGGGACAGTTATTTTATTTTATTTTTTATTACTGCTCCAGTGAAATTATGTAGAGGCCAGATTGTTGTGGTCTTTCGTACATGCTGGGTCTGCTCATTGCTAGTCGTCATATTGAGTATTCTTGACCCAGTTTGATTTATTTGCTAAAGGAAGTCAGCAATGCAGTCCTCTCTGCACACCTAGCCTTTGGGTTCTAGTGGAGCAAGTGGAGAAAGTTTTCCTTTCTGATTTCTCTGCACTTTTTCTGGTAGGTTAACAATATAGGTTATATACGGTGCAAATGGGTTTTCAGTTCTGCTTACTAGCAAGAACATAGAGGAAACAGTGACAGTATTTTGATTACTCAATGCAAATGATCAGAACTAAAATACAGCATGATGCATCAATGATTTTTCAAGTGGAAGATCTACAGATTTTTTTCCCCCTAATTTTGAGGTGCAGTAGACTGCTTGCCCTAAACACTGATGGACTATTTCAAAGGTGATGACAAATTTAGTTTTGTTGTGAATGTAGATTTTCACTGGCCTCACACAATAATATGTGCTCACATAGTTTTTGATTTTAAATCTTGAACAAATTATAAAACACAAAAATGTACGTGTTAATAGAACACGCTATTGCTTAAATGTGTGGTGAAAAGTAGTCTAGCATAGAAATCGAATAGTTCTGAGTGAAAGAATAGAATAGTTTCTGCTAAATTAAATTAATTTGTGCTCAGGAGAGATAATAGTGCATGTGATATCTCCTTAAATCCAAGGATACATCTTAAGAACAATGAAGTGCTTTGGATGGTTTTCAATACATTACCTAGCTTAAGATGCAGTTAATAACAAGACTGGTAAACATTTCTTGAATCTAATATTTGAGATACAACTTTCCTCTTTGCAGTAAGCTGTGCATGTTAAATTAGTAACATTACATCATGATGAATGTTGATGAGCATATTTGTGTCCTGTGATTAGTTTACCAAGGTCTTTATGCATCTCTGAAATTCAATGCCAATAATCCACCTCTTGACAGTGTTTATATTCAGGCCTTTACTAAACAGCTTTTAATATTATTACAGATGTCATCATTGTTAGTCATTTGACATAATAAGAGTTGAATTATTTCATGTTTACCAGGGGTAGTCTGATAAATGTCTATTATCATGCTTAGTTTTGAAAAGAAAATTGACAAATTGTTTCTCTGTGACTTGAAAATCAATTATTTTCCCTGACCCTCCTGCAAGTCTTCCGGTGCATGACTATTGCTATCAGCATATTCCAAATAGATGTGCTGTATGTGTCAAAGATTGTTCTATATTATACTAATCGTTAAACTTCACGTTCTCATAAACTGAGTGAAAAGCGGAGTATTGGGACAGTGAGGTGAAATTGATCATTTTTGCCGTCTACCACTGAAATTGTATTTCATGTTTCAGATGAAAACAGAAATATGGGTACAGAATGGCAGGTTTTGTTTCTGGGTATTATTTTTGCATGCATGTTTAGCCATCTTAGAGCAGCGTCAGTTGTGTTAATTCCCCCACAATTCAAGGGAGCATAAGCATGGGACAAGGGGCTGACAGGTCTTTCCGATTGCCCAGGTGTTCTGAGCTGCGTTAATAATGAAAACATAAAAACTGTGAATAAGGAACCTGTAAAGGTGGGAACCAGCGACCTTGGTTCCTGGCTCCGGAGTTTATTTTTTTAGGTTTGCCCTTTTGAGTTTGCTGTTCCGATATTTAAGCTTTTCACCTCATGTATTATTAAAGGGGATAACTGTTGGAACTTTCTTCTTGGCTGCACACAGGAAATTGATTTGCTAGCAGCAGTATTTAAGTCCGCACTGCACTTCTGTGTGATGACGGGACCTCTTACAAACTGTACAAAGGCTATACTATTATAATGGCATCCGGTGCCACTCTGGAACACGATGTCATGGTGTCATTTTGGTGCTCAAGCAAATAACCCTCTGATTCCATTAAAAACAATTACATTCCATTAAATTGTTCAAAAGTTATGAGGCTTAATGTCTATCAGTGTGCAGAAAAAATAGTCAAATGACAAAACGTCTTTTACTACTTGTGTGAAAAAAAGATTTCCAGTGTGAACGTTTTTAGGCTGAAATAAAAAATAACAGATTATTAAAGAAACACTAAACCAGAATAGAGAACTTTGATTTTAGAACTGTTCCCTATATTTCTGAATTGAAAAAGTGTATTGCACTATCATAATAAATATAATAATAATCCATTGTCCTGTCTCTGGATGTCACCGAGGTGAAGAAAAGCCGAAATGGATTATACTTCGGTTATTCCAATCTTGCAGTGAAACCCCAAATATATCGAAAACTGCATACGTCTTGAATTCTTTGTTCCGTGTCACTTTTGCGATTGGTTTTCACACAGAGATGCCAGTGCTTGAGCTTGTTGCAGGGTAAGCGTGAAGTATGTTTTTTAATTTATTATAGAGTTATTACAGAATTCCAGTTCATTTACATCAATTTAATAAAAATGCCTTCAATCCAAATGAATTCTATAAAAAGAATGATGAAAAAATTCATTCCTAGTTAAATGTAATTCATGGTTTTTATGTTGAAGTATTATTGAGTGGAAGTATAAAGCTGCGAAGATTAAAAGCGCCCCAGTACACAGCCCCAAGGCAATTCTATTCTTCTAAATTATTTGATGTAGTGTAATAAAATAATTTGTGAAATTCCTAACACCTTAGGAAACCAGCTTTGTTTTAATTCACACTCGCTTGCTCTCACTGCAGTGCAAACACTGAGACTGTCCTACAGAAATAAAGCTGTGTGTGCACAAAACATGAGTCACTGGCAGTAGGGAGGAGAGCGGAAGACTCTTGAGCTTCACTGTGTAAAATGTAATGATCAAGTTGTACGTGAGAGGCAAACGACAGCACCACATTCTGCATGTGAAGCCTTCACATTGAATTTATTTTGAATCCTTTTTATTAACCTTTATTTTTGACAACATGCTAGTCTGTTTGAGCACATGGTTTCAAGTATTTTAAACTAGTGGATGTATGCAAAGGAATGTCGAATCGCAGAGCTTTGTGAAACTTGTGAATTTTGGCTCCATGTTATTGAACTTATCGGTTTCTTCTTTTATAAAACTTTCCAATTTGAGTCCATTTTTAGTGTAGGCACTGCAGTATATCAGGGTTATAGTACAATCTACCTTTTGTGTGATTTCTTTTCTGTGCATGTCAGCTTACTCTTTATAAAATAACTGAGATGGGTTATGAGATTAAAATACGCCTTGAAAATTAGGTATCTTATAACACTGGAAATGTGGCAGATTGTTTTATAGTAAGCAATGTTAATATAGGTTTTACGTATACAGTGTATAAATGTATAAAGGCTAATGGAAGGTTATAGACCACAAATATTTTATAACGATATTTCTTATTAGCAATACAAAGAAGTGAGCAATACAGATGTCTATGTGCTTACTAAGATAATGGATTTAAGACACTTAAAAATGGAATATTAAAAAAGTAGCTTTAAAGTGTAACCCTTTTGTGGATTTGTAAGCTTTGATAATGTTTAAAGAAAGTGATTCAGCTGTTTAAAAAATTAAAAAAATATATTCTTCATACTCGGTTTCTGTTATGTAGTAGCCTGGAAAAAACCCTGTTCCTCCGTATACTTTTTTGTGTATCTGTTGGGTAAGTTGGAAGCGAAATTCCTTTTTTAGCTGTATACTTGGGTGCCTCATCTCATGTGCTTTCCTACAATAGACGACATGCTTTGTCTGACAGTGGAAACGACTCATTTACATGAGCAACACAAAAGTGATGTGTGCAAAGAAGCACAGAGATATGAACATTTTTTGCAAACCTGTTCATATATATTTTGTGACTGTACCTATTAATAGAAGGTCCTCCATTGGCTGTTCAGTAGGGGTGTGTCATTCTGTATTTGGAACACAGTTGAATGGTGGCCATATATTGTAGAGGGTTTTCTCTTGCTTGTTCCTGGTGAATGTGCCTTGGGAGAAGTAGTTGGCACAGCTTAAGTTGAGCAAAGCTCTCATTAGCTCTGGGAGGACTGGGGTCTTCAGTGCAGGCCCCCCGCCATTTCATTTGTTCATTTGTATTCTGCTGAATAAAATTGAAACGCTGATAACTTCTCTCTCCTTGCGCACAATGAATAAGTAAATCGATGTAGGACAACATCATTTGTTGTGCAGAGTCCTAACTTGATGTTTTGAAATGAAGAAATGTCAGAGGAGTTTGGTACAAATGGTACTAATGCCATGTTTTTCTCATATGGAAATAATAAAAACTTCTCATCACACGCTTTCTCCCCTCCTGTTTCGCCCTGCATCCCCTATGATTGTGACACAAAGAGGTCTTTTGCATATTGTTTAGGAAAAAACAGAAATCTGAATAAATGCAATAAGATACCTATAGTTGCCAGGCAGGTCTGGTAGGTTCCTCCCCTGTGCTTCGGTGCTCTGCTTACACCTGTAAACCCAGCAGATGGAACACAGAAACAAAACACAATGGGGAGAAGAAATCTGTGCTTCTTGGTGCTGCTGTTTTTACAGAACTTTCCTTTTTCTTGTAGTGCGTCCCTACACCGGGGGAATTGCAGACCGATAAGGTTTGAACCACCGATGCTGGACTTCCACGAGCAGTGAGTACTCGGTCTCTCCTTTTCATTTCTGTGGACCTAGGCGGTGGTTTGGCTTCCAGCACATTTCCTTTAGAATTATTCCTTCTTCATTTTCTGGCACTACTGGCTTGTTTTTTTTTTTTAACTTTCTATCGTTTTAAATTGTAGGTAGTGGCCTAGGGTCATTTTGAGGTCTCTGGTCTCTCCTAGGGTTATGAGTTTAGGTCCCAGGTTGGACACGGCTGAAGCTTGAACGAGGTAATTGCTTCAGTAAATCCTTCACATAAATCAGCTTCTAGGCAAATTAGAATATCTTTTTGGTGCCCTCTTTTGGTTAAGTATGCAGTTAAATTTCTGCTTTTGCACAGCAGTATAGTTCTGGTAATATTGGTAGGAGTATTTTAGCAGTTCTATTTAGTTGTTCACGTGTTTTGGGAGCTTCTCATTTGTCCCTAAGCTATTTCTTATTCTTAAAGTAGTTTACATTAGAATCGATTCTTTGATGGAGGCTGTACATCATTTGGCTTATAGCAGGTTTTTTTTATGTCTCTGTGTAAACACTTTAAATCTGTGAGATGTTTTACCATTTACAAAATAACAAACAGTCGTCCAGGTCTGTGTTACATTGGTGGTAAAGTATTTCTTGACGTTTTTCTGACAGATTGGTAGGAGCAGTCACTGTGTTGTACTGCTATTGCGAACAGAGGGGCATAACTCTGAGACATTAATGTGCCTCAAGTAGTGCTGGCATTTTTTTACTTCTACTTTCTCAAATGTTTTGAATTCAACCAAGCAGCCATATTTTACACATAGTGATTACTTCCCCACAGTTACCTTATGCCCCTATAATTGCACTCTAAACCAATACTCCTTTACTTTGCACTCATTGTGAACTTTGTGATCTCATTTATTGAATAGTTTAATTAAGGTGTTTGAAGGTATTGGTGTTCTTCATGTAGGACATTTCAGGGATCAGAGGAGTTACAGCTTGTCTTAAAATACTCTTAATGTAAGCAGTTTGAAAGCTCTGCTCAAGTGGCTGCCCCACTATCTTAGAAACCATCCTCAAGAGTCCCAGCATCTTGGCTTTTGGTTTCACTGAAAGACAGTTATTCCATATTGCAGGACATTTCGTACCACACAGCTGAAGAAGTGGAATAAGAGAACTAATAAGCTGTTATTCTCTGAGTGTTTAAGTTTATGATGGTTACATAAACTTTGTGAAAGGTGGTCATTATGATGACTCGTCTGTCTCAACTGTAACTGTTAGTGTTCTTTTTGGTGGTTTTCTCTTAGTGTTCTTAGAATTGAGCACGTTGTGTTATGGGACCACTATAGGTAACTGGTCTTATCTTATCAGGAAATAAGTAAGCAATACCTGACTTGAATGTCTTGGGCTTATACTGAATTATCAACAACTCTTGCGCACAGAGCAGACGTTGGAACAAGAAAACATCTTTTGTGTATGGAAAAGGGATGCATGCCCCTTGTAGTGTGCTTAGGCAGGCTGGTGTGCAGTTTACCTGATACATACAAGCATATATGTCAACTCTGTGGAACCTTGGAAACTGTTCCTGAGCGCCACAAGCTTCAGTTCAAGCTCAGCTGGAGTATTGCAAAGTGTGTATAAGTCACGTTCTGCCCTTCACACTCATTCTGCTTGACCCAGTGCTTATTTGATATGTGAAGGAACAAGTAATAGGTTTATTCCATGCTGAAAAAAAGAAGAAAGAGAACACAACGTTTCAGCCATGGAGCCTTCTTCAGGTGTCAGGTGTTATTCTTACGTCTTCAGGTGTTATTTGATATGTGCCCCCTTTTCTATAATGTAGCAGTACGATCATTGCAACTGGAACGTCATGGAGTATCTGTGGAAATACTCCACAAAAGGCTTTCTCTTCACCTTCCTATGCGATGTCTTATTCATTGTTTTATCTTTTCAGGAGATGTATCCATATTGTTTTAAAAGTGGCAGTATGTTACACTATGCTTCATCTTCCATCTACATGCAATTATGTACAGTAAGCATTTGTGGAAATAACTTTGTAATAACTAGTTAAGACTGCCTCTTAAACTGTTTATCAAATTTACATTGTATGTTCCTGCTTCTCTTAATGTTTTTTTTTCAATACGAGAGAAACATTCTGAGTGGCAAATCTGATTTTTGATGGACGTAAACTCAAATGTCCAGCACATTGTCATCAGTTATGGTTTTCAAGTCCCAATGTTCAGTAATCTTCTGAAGATAAAGTTGAAGGAAGTAGACTTTACACGTATTGTTGAAACTGTGTTTTAAGTCTTGGTTGTGGTTTCTAGACTAACGGAAGTTTGGCAGTGTGGGTGAAGCATAAAAATTGTATCGTTTAAAACGTCTCCAGTTCTTGTTGAAAAAGCTGATGCCCTTTTGAGCAGCTTAGAAGTTCTAATTAAATAAATCGCATTAAAAACCAAATGGACGTCAACACTGCTTATCAGACTCGTGTCTGTGTGTGTGTGCTCTAAAAGGATGTTAACTACTTTTAAGTTTTAATTCAACATATTGGTGATCAATTTTTAAGTTTTTATGTGAGAAATTCAGAGAATGCCCCGATTTTTCAAAAACAATTGCAGTATTAAGAACTACTGTTGAGGATCATCCTCCTAAGGCATTTTAAGTTTTTCTTCAAATGTGTGTATGTAATGCTTTTGTATACAATATGAGAGATAATATTTTTATAATTGATGTATTTGTTTCCTATATGTTTGTTTTTAGGATGTTATACACCTTATATAAAAATTATAGATATATATGCATATATACAGGGTTAGTCAAAATGCGGTTGACAACTTATATTTATTTTATGTTTTCATTTGAAACCTTTTTTGTCACAGTAACCCATGTAATCAATTTGTAATAAACTGTCAAAGTGTCTAACAGTTACCTTACAATCCTTCGCCAGCTGTGGAGGAGAAAACAAAACTTTAGTAAAATAATTGGCAGTTATACTTGTTGACAACATTTTGACTAACCCCCGTATAAAATGTAAAAAATATATATGAATTTTATAAAATATATTTTTAAAAATTCTTGAATATATAATAAGCAGCAAAGCAGCAGTTATAAATTCCTATTACGGGACATTTATTTAGCCACGAGCAGGCTTTTTATTCAGCCTTTTAATCAGGGTGGTGCAGTAGGAAGCGAGTATTGGCAGTGCGATGGGTACACCACCTTTTGTTTTAATTTTAACCTAACGTCCTGACAGTCTGTAAAGAAGACGTGTTGGAAAATGCCATGATAAAGCTCATTTAGTCTAGGAGCTAAGGCTTTTGATTATTCTTCAACTAAACAATATGCTGAAAACTACTGGCACAGCAGAATGCTTGTGAAGTCATAAAGCTGTTGGCACGTCTGCATGTTTTTGTGGAATAAGAAAAGGTTTCAGTTTTCAAACGCTGCAGCTCACAGGTGACTGGAAAGTTCACAAGGGACTTTTAACTGAAAGGTACAGTGCAGACTACAGGATAAAGTTCACCAAGATAATATTTTATACTTTAACACACTGAAACAAGCAGCAAGGCAAAACCAATAATAGCACTGTAAAACTGCAAAGAAAACTTTTCTTTTTAGAACCCTCCCCCTGACTGTATGTAGCAGATGCAGTGGCTGTTTTGTCCCGTTTTGCCTGCCCCTTACATAAGCTAATGCAAACGCAGCTTATACAAAAAATACTGCTCTTGTATCAGTGCGCACAATAAAGAAGTACTTCCAATGCATTTCATTTTACTTAGCCAACTCGGAATTTGTCTGTGGTATAGCCTAAACCTAGCATTTGAGCTTAGTAAGTGCATGGGGGATGTTCCTATTCTCTGTGCTTTTTACTGTAGTACATTTCTGTATATGTGACCTATTATAGATCACTGCTGATAATGGAAAAAAATAATATTTAAGTAGTTGACCACAGTCTTTTTGTTTTCTTTAGTTATATACTAAGGGGCGTGAAAAGGATTAAAAAAAAACACTGCATGTCAAATATCATATGTCCCCTTCTCTTCAAATTTTGAAATACTGTAAGACTTCATGTGACATTTTGAAATCATGTGTAGTAGAATATGAAGTGCTCATTGCAGGATGTTATGCAAAATCATTTCCTGTTTTTTTTTTTCTCAAGCCTATCTTATCTATACAGGTTTTTGTATCAGATTTTTAAATCACAGCTTTAAAGTGAAAAATGATTTTCATATTTACAATGATTCTTATTATCCTTCTCTAAAAATTGAATGTTGGAAAACCTGATATAATCTGTATATACCATTCTTCTCAATGGGTCTTGATGTTCCTTTAAAGTTGGGTACAGTTAAAACGCAAGTGAAATCCTAGTGTGAAGTTTTATGTCTCTATGGTTTCCTCTTACAATGAACAAAGGTTAGCTAAAATCCGCCCATCACGTATTACAGTAGCCTGTGACCTTATGTTATTTTGTCAGCTCTGTTGTGTTCAGAATTTTGCTTACTTTCCTTTTAATTAATAATTTATTTAATTAATACAACACTCCCTGCCTTCATTACTGTCTCTCTAGCACAATAAGCTTCAAGAATGCAACATTATTATACATTTATTTTAAATTTATATTATAGATTAAGTATTTTTTTATTATTGTTAAATACATTAATACAACTTGTTTGCTGTTGAGCACGCTGAACAGTAATTTTAATACTCTAACTGCTCTTATTTGGATTTTTGATCCAAGATGTTGCCTTTTCTAGGCATTACTGTTTTACATGGCCTGCCACAAAAGAACAGCAAAAATTATACTGTTCAGTGCCCTTTTTAATTTGACAGTTGAACCTCTTTTTACTTGATTTTAAAGTTCACCATAAATCTGATTAGTCTGATACTGATTAGTTATGCAAGATTAGAAAGGTTTTGCATCCCATTTTGAAGCCCTATCCGATATCTGCTGATCTATGTCATGTCATGAGGTAGAGTGTTAACATTGCATTAGAAAAGATGCTCTTTGTCATTTTTTATTGTGAATTCGTTTTCAGCGTTGGTAGAGTATTCTGAATTGCTGTGTTCATACTTGCAAAATTGATTCCTCATTAAAGTAGTATTTTAGGAGAAGTCTTATATGAATTGATTTAAAGTAGCCTGCCTGTTTGCAGCTATGCAAAGTGACATTAACAATGCACGGGAGGCAATTTTCAGGACCTTTAAAAAAAAAAAGGTGTTGAATGTGTTATCTTGCTTGTAATCTTTAAATCACTTTAAATCTAGACTTGAATAGATTGCATACAAACAACTCCTCCTGGTTCGCAGTGTCGGCAAACCATGCAGTTTAATTTTAGACCCTCTTCTACCCTTCATAAATGGCTGCTAAAGCTTTGTGTAATGACAAAGGAGATACAACCTGATCTTCAGGAGATGTACTTCCAGTAATGTGGCATGTCTCATACCAAAATAACTTAAACGCACAGGTCAGTCAGCCTATTATGAGGTTTTTCTGGATGGTAGGTTTTAGCCTATGCTGAAGTGGGAAATCTGTGTCGAGTCTTAATTGCCTGAAGAAAAAGCAACAGCTGGCTTTTTGGAAAGGTTTCACTGGGCCTGGATTAAGGATCATTTTTGAGAGAACCTAGTAGAATATTAGTGCCTACAGGGAATACTAGTCCACTACTGAATAACGTTTATTGGTCACATGATTTCTCTGTATGAGGCCTTTGAGTCTCCTTCTTATCAAGTGCAGAATTAAAAGATGCAGATGAAGTTTATAGTAACAGTGGAAGGCCAGCTTGAAAATGCTTTGTCCAAGAATTACCTTATTTTTGGACAGTGACCTGTCATAAAAGTCAAATGCAACACTAATGACTATATGACTATGGAATATATATATATAGGAAACTGCATATCAAGTAATGTTTTCAAAGGTAAAAATATGTTGGCTTTGTTCCTCCATTGCTGTTTGCATTTTTATTTTCGGTATAGTAGAATAAATGTTTTCTGGAAGATGGAGTTTTTAGTTTTTGTAGCAGGAGCATTAATTTTAATTGTTTTAGACATTGGCAAAGTCATGCTGCTGATTAACATTTGGTGTGGCCAGCAGACATATCACCCTGCAACTCACAACTGGCAGCCCACTGAGGCTCAGCAGGTGTGAGCCTGGTCAG